AAATTAAAAAAAAAAAAAAAAAAAAAGCAAAGAAAGGAAAATGTTCTAGTGAAGGTGGTGAAACTGTGAATCTAGATATCTAGACCTCAAATGGCCTAGCTTCAAGCTAAATTTTTTCCATGGTTCCTGAGCACTTTGCAAGAAGCCTTGAAAGCAATCCTACTGATCCCAAATATTTAAAACATTCACATAGAGGAATCCTATGCTAGGGGATAGTGTATTCAAAGACCAATATAACATCTCCAAAAGGTTGCTTTCTGGTGCTAAATAGAGAACCTTTTAATAGAACTGTTTATTATAAATAAATTCAGTACACTTTTGAATTCACTCTTTGCTCAAAGTACACTGCCTATGCCAGTGAGGGTGAACCTTTTAGATAGTGTCTAAACCGCAACCCAAACCCACTTGTTTATTACAAAGTGCCCACACCGCAGTTAAACCTGAATACTGGATGCTTAGGTGCTGGGTGATGCTGGGGTGACTTGGTTCATATGCTGACGGAGCAGGCTCTGTGTGCCCGCTGTGGCACACTTGCCACAGATTTGCCTCCACTGGCCTGTGTTATGAGACTTTAGACAAACTTTACAGAAGAAAAGGGCTGAGGATGTCATAGCTGCTACTAAGCTAGGCAGGAAGTAGACACCAGCAGTGACAGTGTCTGTGAGATATTACAGTTCCATCACAGCTGGCCAGAGAACTTTGACATATTTCAGAGGCAAGTGTAATTCTCCACAGTCTGTATTTCTCCCCTGACTTCTCACTCATGGTGCCCTCTGGGTTTAGTTAGGCACAGACATTAGGCAGGGGGCTCAAAATTAACACTTCTGAGGCTGAACTCATAGTTTATCCCCTCAAACCATGAATCTCCATCTATTTCTAGGAGTTTAATAGTGAATCTGCCTGGACTTCTCCCTTTCTTCTTTCATGGTACTAATCATTAAGTTTGGTAGATATTATTTCTCCAAATTCATAAGCATTCCCAGTTCTCCTTGGCTCTGTTATACCATGTGCATTCAGGCTTGATACTTTTCAAAGACTATGGAGATATCTTCTTATTGGTTCCTTCCTATCTGAGCCCCTTCAGCTCAGAACACTGGTTGCATTATGTGGTTCACACGTGTGTGAGTGTGTGCGTGTGTGTGTGTTTGTGTTTTTCTTCAACCTGTGTTTGAGCTCCTTGAGGACAAGAAGCACTCTGTATCATGACTGTCCAATAGCATGAGGCAGGGCAGGGATTCCTGTTTTATTCCCAGGAGATGGGAAGAATGGATGGGGCATAAGTGTTCAGTCAAATTTTGGTGAATAAATGCCTGATAGGAAGAATGACTACTGGAGCAAATGAAAGATTAACCTGAAAGCAACACTCTTCCAATTGCCTGACTTCCAGTTTTGTGTGACAAGTTCGTGTACACACATATGAGGTAGACACAGTGCCATTAATCCCCCCAAATACTATCTCTTGCTTTGAATGCACTGATCCCATCCTTCTTGCTGCTCTCTGAAGAAGTTCTGGAGTTCTTATTTTACAAGAATCTTCAATAGCAGTGTTTGAGCTGACTCAACGTCCCGACTTGAGTCAAAATGTTTACCTTTTATGATCATTTTTGGAGAAGAGCCAGAGGTGCAAGGTGCCAGCTTCAGTGAATAAGGTGGATGAAGACACAGCTTCATGTTTTTATAAATCTGTCTTTTTGTTCAACAGCACTTGGCGGCAACATACACAATTTTTGATCACACCTTATAAAGACACTCACAAAGGTGGTCTTGTAGAACTGTTTCAGAAAATGGCAGTAATGAGGGGACAAGTGTGTTTAAATGAGGTGGAGTATTCGAGAGGGACTGGCAATGTGTCTTTTACTGTAAAAATTTTAACAACTTAAACATCCACCATATATTTTAGTCATCCCTTGTATATAAGTACCTCTTTCAAAGAAATAAAATTAAAATTGAATATCACAATCTTCTCTTCATAATAAACCTCATTGAAAACATAATTACAGAAATTTACTAGTATTTTACACACATACACACAGAGTCTATACATCAGTTAAATCTGTAGGCTTTGGAATTTGTTTCAGTTACTAAAAGAAATAAAATTCTGGGGAAGTAAATAGACCTCCTTCCTGAAAAACCATACAACTTTCCCTTCTCAGAATTAGTTTTGGGGTAATGGGTAGCATGAGTTTCTTTTGTTCTTTGCCCTGGCAGGAGTGCTATATAGGCAGGGCTGAGGGGGCTCTGGGTGGACACATGAAGAACTTCAGGGGCTGCTTCCTGCAGGGATGGGGAGCACAGTCGGAGAGTACAGTGCCTCTCCAGTCTCCTAGAGTCAGAGGAAGCTGGCACTGGTTTATATTATTCCACCCGAACTCTTCTGATTCCTTC